TGTAGTTTATGGAAAAAATGCATACCACATTAAGTATTTGGCATTAAATCATGAGTTGGACTCCATTTTGCAATTTGGAACTATAAGTTCTGGCTCATCTGAAAAAACACTTATGTGCATGGGGAAACTAATGTCACATACGTTGTTTTTAAACTGGGCCGGAATTTATAGTTCCAAATTGCAAAATGCAGTCCAGTTGATTTAAGCAAAAAAATCGGACTTTATGATCCGTTTTTCATACTTCGAATTCCGCATTTCGTTGGCCAGGTTGCACCGACCTCCGTCACTGGGCAAACATACCTCAAGATGCAAACACCTCTTTTTTTTTCTCTATGATGTTCTCACAAGCTCGTGACCCCTAACCTCTCCCCTCATAAAGAAGCATTTAAAACGGCACCGATTCCATCCAACACGAATCCGGGTTTAAAAACAACTCCATTGTTTCAACAAATTACTCGGCGTTGTGCTTTTTTCTCGTCATTTCCTAATCCTGAAAATTCGTCCGGCTCCGGCGCGATTCTTTGAGCACTCCCCGCTCGTTACCCGCGCTCCGGATCCCTCGCGAGGGTGAATTAGCTGGCGAACGAAGCGAGTTCAAAGAAAGGGCATGTTAATTTAATCACAATCCTTTACCTCTCGACAGGGAAGCCGCGCGTGAATTTCCGTCGAGCAACCTCTCTTCCTACTTTCGTTTTCTTCTCGATGGGCCCTCTCCAAGCGAAGCTGGCCCGCGCGATTGTTGATGGCGGATTTCGCAAATTTTTCGAGTTGGTCAAGCTGTACGAGCGTTGATAATTAATGCAATTCGACGGTGAAACTACCAAACCACGTATCTCGGTTCGCGACGTCGCAGACTTCCTGTCATACTTTATTTTTTAAATGAAAAGCTACTTAACGTCCAGTCTTGAAAATTTCCGTGATTTTTCCTCTTCGTGCGGAGAAAATTCTGTGAAAATTTCAAGGAATGATATTGATTTGGTCTACTTCAAAAAAATAAAATGCAAGCGTAGATTTTTAAGCACCGCAAACGAGATACGTGGTTTGGTAGTTTCACCGTCGAATTAACGTTTCTGAAGATAAGTTGAGATTAGTTGACCGAACAGCGGCTCGATTGTTGAATTTATATCGAATGACCTTGATCGATAAAAGGATTTCTAAGATAGAGGTTTATCGATCAGATTCATTTGATATCAATTTAACAATCGACCTGCAGTTCTTTTCAATTAGCGATGCGTATCGGTAAGCTATTAGGTGATGTGTAGTACAAGAGGAATAACGTAAAAATGAAAGACTGTAGAAAGCGGAGGAAAATAAACTTGTGTAAGGGTCAAATACAAATTTTTAACGTAGTTTATCGACAGTCGATTCGATAAGTTTTGGATTTTAGGACATTACCTAGGAATTTGTGAGAATTAGATAACACTGTATAGTACCCAAGGTCTTTGTAAATAAAATGTATCCAAGCTCTATTTTGAAAGAGCGCCGGGTGCGCTCCGAGTAAAAATCCCAAGTTAGTTTAGTTTCTGATTTCTGATGAGAGAATTTCTTCATGAGCATGACTTAGCAGCGGGCTGATTATCGAAATTGATAGACAAAGCTATAGACCAAGAATGCAAACAAGATATGGATGGCTCCTATTGCTGGAAGGGGGTTGTCGCGTCCGTAGACGGAGTGAAAAAGAGGGTTCGGAGGACCGTGAAAAAGAGAAGGAGAAAACGAGAAAAAATAACTAAAAAGAAAGAAAGAGGATCATCTCGGGGACAGAACCCAAGGCAACTAGGCGTACCGCGTACCTAGGCATCCCACCACGAGAAGAAGAACGGAAAATACTGAGACGATGATATAGACAGGAGAGCAAACAACGAATAATAATAACTAAAGGGCAAAGAGGAAAATAAACTTCCCAGGGAAAACCGTCCTGGGGAAATGAGCTTCCCAGGGAAAACCGTCCTGGGGCAAATAGGGGAATATGCGTCCCTAGGGTCTTCTCAGGGTATGTGCTTCCTGAGGAAAATGGAAATCATACCACGGAAAAACGTCGTGGCGAAAAGATACCTACAATGAGAAGTGACGTCGAGCGTACCGCGGGAGAGACGAGATCTGCTGCGCCGGCTGGAAGCTGAGTGCTGGCCCACTCGTCCACGGGCTGCGGTCCGGCCACCGCGAGGCATGGTTGCGCAGAAAAGCTGCGCCGATGTCGGCGCGCGCACTGCGAAAAGCTAAGGCGGCGCGGGTGACAACGCGGGGAGAGAGGAGAAGGTGGGCAGCGCGGTAGAAATAGCGGGAAGAATGAACTGAAAATATATCCACTAAAAATGACAAATAAAACTATCCTTTGGGTCTGAAAACCCAACATACACCCCCCCTTGAGCTCCGTAAGGACTCAAAATAAGGGAGTATGCGAACGCACACGAGAGAGAAAAGAAATCAAATATCGCTGTTTTAGAAATAGAGCTATAAATGTGATATTTACAAGTGAGAAAAAAAAATGCAAGAATTATACATAGGGCCGTAATACCTGTGTGAGGAGCAGAGATGAACAAAGTGTTCTACGGACATGCTCTTTAAGGTGCCACGGGTAGAGGATACAGCTTTGTGGCAGGCCTTGTATATTCTCCGTGAGCCGTTTTTACTTGGGCCACTCTAACGGCGCCATCCTTGCCTGGGTGTACTTGTGTCACCCGTGCGTACTTCCATCGTAAAGGTGGACAATTAGGCTCATGCAAGAGCACGAGATCGCCTACACGTAAATTTGGAGTATCTTTTGTCCATTTTGATCTTGTTTGGAGGGTTTGCAGATATTCGTGCTGCCATCGCTGCCATATTTGGCGCGAAAACTGCTCTACTGTGCGCCAGTGTTTTAGCGTCGCGCAGTTCGGCCCACTGAAGTCGGGCATTGGGGGTGCAACGATGGGGCCACCGGTTAGGAAATGCGCGGGTGTGAGGGCGGCGAAATCCGATGGGTCGTTGGAAAGAGGTGTCAGAGGCCGCGAGTTCAGGATTGCCTCTATCTGTGAAACTAGCGTTTGAAACTGGATGAGGGTAATAACCGTATTACCTATGGTTCTTAAAATGTGTTTTTTGACGCTTTTAACGGCGGCTTCCCAAAGCCCGCCTTGGAATGGTGCAGCAGGGCTCTGGAAATGGAAAGTGAGACCTTTTTGTGTGGAAAAGTTTTGGATCTCCAACTCATTCTCGCAGAAAAAATCATCGAGAGCCTTTTTGAACTTGCGGTCAGCGCCGACAAAATTTGTTCCGCAGTCAGAATATAGGTCGGTGGGCCAGCCTCTGCGGGATGCAAACCTGGTGAGAGCTCCAAGGAATGCGAGAGTGGATAGATCTTCCACCACTTCAATGTGCACACCTTTAGTTGCCATGCACACGAAAATGCACAAATAACAACTTACTGTGCGAGCTGCTCGAAGGGTGTGAATCTTGATATCGAAGCTGCCACAGTAATCCATCCCTGATTTTGCAAATGGGCGTGAGGGTTTAACTCGTTGAGCGGGTAGATCTCCCATTAGGGGCTGTCGATTTCTAGGCTGAGCGCGGAAACACGGTATACATTGAAAAATTACCGAGCGAATGACTTTTCGAGCTGAAATGATCCAAAAAATTTCGTTCAATAGTGATTGGGTGAGTTGAGGGCCTGAGTGGAGTCCTACCTCGTGGAAAAAGGCGACTACCAAGTCGGTGAGCTTGTGCTTAGTGGGCAAAAGTATTTGGTGCTTTGCTCTATGAGCAATTGACGCGTGAGAAATGCGTCCACCTACTCTTAGGAGCCCATTTGAATCTAAAAATGGGGATAAGCGTTGCATTTTTGTTGAAATGTGACCTTTCCCGCAATCAAGGAATTCAATTTCACCGGAGAATTCTTCGAGTTGAGCTTTTTTCAGGATTGTGTCTCTAGCACATTGCAATTCTGAAACGGAGAGTGAACCCACTCGACGATTCTCCCGGAATTTCAGTGCTGCCTGACGCGCGTTAAATATGAAACGTAACACGTATGCGTAAACGTGTTGCAGCGTAGGCCATGAGGAGAATTTGTCCCAGGGAATAAAATTATTTGTAGGTGCACGAGTTAGCGCCGTACAAATGATTGGAGATACCTTCTTTAATTCAGATGTGTCTGTAGAGAGTGCGGCGGGTTGCCTAGGCCATTCTGATGAAGGCGCTTTCAGCCACTCGGGTCCATGAAACCAGAGTGTGCTATTTAGAAGCTGTGACGGCATGAGGCCGCGTGATCCCAAATCGGCGGGATTTTGAGCTGAGGGTACGTACCCCCAGAGGAGCTCGGGATCGCTGGTCTGAATCCGGGAAACTCTATTAGCGACGTACGTGGATAACTTGTACGGCGGGGTCGAAATCCATTGTAGAGTAATGGTGCTGTCGGACCAGGCGTGAATTTTCTCTATCACATGATGATCTCTCAAGCTCGGGAGAACTGCTTGAAGTAGTTCGCAGAGCAAATCGGCGCCGCATAGCTCTAAACGGGGTAAAGTTACGCGCTGCAATGGAGCTATGCGCCCAATTGTCTGGAGTAAAGTTGTCTCGATGTCGCCGCTAGGTAGCAGCGTTCTCAGGTATACGACCGCACAATAGCCGCGTTCACTAGCATCACAAAAACCATGTACTTGTATCGGGTTTTCCAGACCTGGAATGAAACGTGGGATGCGCAGGTTTTTCAGGCTTGGTAGATCCGCCAGAAAAGTGGTCCATTGCTTAGTTAGCTCTGCGGGGAGCGGGTCGTCCCAATCTATTTTCGTGATCCAGAGCTGTTGTATCAGAGCCTTAGCTAAAAATACTGCGGGCGCTAACCAGCCGCAGGGGTCGAATATACTACAAGTTGTACTGATGATGCCGCGTTTTGTGAAGGGTCGAGTGCCGGGGTTTACTCGGTACGCAAAACAATCTCCATTATGTAGCCAAATTAAACCTAAAAAAGCGAAAGCACGGTCGGGCGAGTCATCCCATGAGAGAGGGGGTTCCAGATCCGGTGCGTCCACCGTTTCTAAAAATGTTTGACTATTACTGGTGAATTTTCGTGCAACGAAACCGCCGCGATGCAGCATGTTCATCATTTCATCCTTATTCGCAATCATTTCCTGGACAGTTGGTGCTCCGCCTGTAATATTGTCCACAAAGGTTTCTTTAAGAATCATTCGTGCGGCGCAGGGAAATTCATGACCGTGATCGAGCACCAGCTGTCGTAAGGTTCTCAGTGATAAAAATGCTGAGCTGCAGATACCAAAAGAGACTCTTGTAAGTTTATAAATGCGAATTGGTTCCGTGGGATGCGATCTCCAGAAAACCAGCTGAAAATATTGATCGTCGGGGTCTAGTGCAATTTGCCGATACATTTGCTTGATATCGCATGTGAACATAAATTTATGTCGGCGAAAATTGTTTATAATGTTGCGAATGTCAATTTGTAGGTGAGGACCTGCTAATTGAATGTCGTTGAGAGAAACACCAGTTGAAGTTTTTGCACTGCCGTCGAAAACAACGCGTAATTTGGTTGAGCTAGAACTATCCTTTTTTACGCCGTGGTGAGGGAGAAAATAATGTTTTTCGGGAACTGATTGCACGGGAACCATGTGTCCAAGCTTAATGTAGTCTTCCATACAATCGATATATTGAGCTTTTTCATCAGGACGACATGCTAAGTAGCGTTCAATGGCGTGAAATCGCCTCAAGGCTTGGTTCCTTGACTCTCCTAACGGTGGATGATTCTCTTTGAAAGGAATTTTGACGACATATCTTCCGTCTTCCTGTCTAGAGTGAGTTTCGGTAAATAATTTTTCGGCGTAAATTTCGTCTTCTGATAGTTCTTTTTTCGGCAAAGGCTGATCAAAAGTCCAGAGACGCTGTACAGAATCGTGGAGAGTGCGGTTATCCACAGTCAGGAGCGTGACTTTAGGTTCAGAACGAAGATTTTCTTCGGGTATAGTGATTTTTCCCATTAGAGCTACGCCAAAGATCGTGGGTAAACCGATGGGCAGGTCGGGTGCTAGCATGATTGGAGCACCCGTTATTGTGTACGGAAAAATATCAGCTCCTATCAAACAGTCGATTGGAGACCGAATGTAAAATAAGGGATCTGCGAGCTGCATCCCTTTAACTCGCTTTCGAAGCTCCGTTGGCACGGGTTCGGAGGGAAGAGGGGCCGTAATGGAGTCCAAAATATCGACGTCGTGATGATTTTGGATAATTGAGTTATTTTTGGTTGCGATTGTGACGCGAGTAGTTCCTTGTAGTCCAACAGAAACTTGAGAGAGTCCACTTAGCGGCGAGATAGCAGGCGCGAAATTCAAACGAAGCGCCTTGGCGACGCGAGTCGTTATTATCGTGCGCTGTGAAGCGTTGTCCAGGAGCGCTTTTGCCACATAAGTGCGTCCTGACGGACTCGATAAATGCACTAGAACTGTACCAAGCATGACCTGCGAGAAATTTCTACGTGATGTGAGAGAGAGAGTCGTGAGATTGACGGCATTACCCGTGGAAGCATCGGGTTTGGTATCAGAATTGACTGAAGGCGATTTATGAAGCAAAGAGTGATGTCTGGATATATTTGGCTTGCATATGGAACATGTGTTGCTCGAAGTACAGGCTGATATTTCGTGCAAACCGAGGCAGTTTTTACATCGTTTTTGATCTTTAATGTAAGATTCTCTGTCAGAGACTGCCATGCTTAAAAACTTAGAACATAATCGTAGGGCATGATTTTGACCACATAGAGAGCACATGATTTGAGAGTGCTGGGATTTAGGAGATCGATTTTTTGGATTTTCGGCCGATTTTTGAGTAACGAAGCTTCGATTTGGCTTATCGTTATTAGAAACGGGCTTCACGGCACGTGAAGTATCTTCGAGCTGAATAGCCTCTTTCTCCAAAAATTTGATAATCTCCTCTATTTTTGGAAATTCTTGGCTTGCACCTCGAAAGTCCTCTAATCGAGTCCTTAACTGAAATGTGAACTTTCGGAGAAAAACGGCTACGAGTACTTCGTTAGTCTCGCCAAGATTATGTTTGAGAGAGTTCAAAGCTTGAGAATGCTCACGATATTTTACCAAAAATCGTGAAATGGATGCTGCATTGTTTTTAACTTCATCCAAATCAAGGAGGCTGTTGATGTGAAATGCTACAAGCCTTCTTTCATTGTGATATTTTGATCGCAAAAGCTCATGGGCAACAACGTAATTGGCTGCGGAAATCTCTAGACCTTGCACGAGATGGAGCGCTTCTCCTTCCAGAGTACTAAGCAAGTACTGGAATTTTTGCACCGGTGACAGCGTGTCAACACTGTGCACTGCCAGATTAAAAATATTGTAATAGCTTATCCAATCTTCGACCTTGCCGGAGAAATGCCGTAGCTCGAGTTTCGGGAGTCGCACTGTAGCCTGTGGCCGAGGATTGATAGATGCATTTGAGTCATGCGCGTGGCCGGGCTGGGAGGAGGCGGGGACACCACCGAGCTGCTGATAGATAGATTCTACGGTCTCTATTATCTGCTCAAACGCAGCGCTAACTTGCGGTACCTCCAGCTGCTCTGAGCTTGTAACCCACGTGTTTATCTCAACGATTTCCCATGTTACCGCTGAGGAAAGTCGAAATCGGGGGGACTGCGGCCCCTATCCGACCCTCTAAATGGCATGAGAAGAAAATGAAGGAAAGAGAAGAAAGTGGCTAAATGGCAGAGAAAATGGCACGAGGGACCACGACCTTTTATGGGTAAAAGGGCGAAAAACCTAAGAGAAGAAGGAAAATGGCAAACTAGAGAAAGAGAAAACTAAACCTAACCTGGATACCCCCCGCAAAATATACAACAACTACTCACATGCTGATAATAAGGCTAGAATGGATGGCGGCTGGCCAAGTCCAAGGCGTAGGGGGGCGGAAGCCCCATGGCGAACTCACATGTCACATGTCCGCGGCTCAAAATGTGGTGCTTAGCTAGGCATACTAAAAGGCGTGGCGACGGCGTAAAAACATAACTCAAAACTCATCACAAGTGTGCGAAGGCGTAAGCTAACTACACGGCGACGGCGTAATGCAAATGAGGGAGAATGAGAACACAAACACCGGCGATTGCGCGTAAAAGAACAGAACTACTCACTCGTCAAAATGCTGTCTCGAGTGATAGCTAAAAAACTAAAGAAAATGAGAGAGAGAGAGAGTGGAAAGCAAATCATAAACTTTACCAGGATGCTGATGAGAGAAAATGAGCAAGAAAAAAGACCAAGGTGCTGGAAGAGCAAAAATCCAAAAGGCAAAGGCTAGAAGCTGTGACTGCGCAGTGGTCGAGGAAAGCGAAGGACAAGTCGAAGCGCTGGCAACTGGAGAACTGGACTGAGAGAGGAAGAGAGGAATGGTGATGAGCTGGGAAGCGACGAGGCAGGACTGGTCCCCGGGTCGCTACCGGTTCCTGAGGCTCCCGAAAAGTGCGTGTTTCTGTCAACCCCCGCTAGAGGGCGAAAAGTCGTAGCGTTTGCTGGATGCATCTTCCCCTCTCTCCCCCCTCCCCAAGGCGGCGCGCTCATTCTCCCCCCCTTAAAATGACGATAAGTCATTTTAACTACGAAGGCTACACGGCGACGGCGGGAAAGGCTCCAAACTCAAAGACTGAAAAAGGAAAGATTACATGTATGAGGCGTTAAGTGGTGTAAAAGGCGTTTAAAGGCAAGAGATTGCATTGATTAGGCGTTAAAAGGCGTGGTGTTGGCTACTAGTCAGCTCCCCCCCATGCAGGGGTCGAGAGGGAATTGAAATTAATTTGATCGCCCTCCGAGTTCGCGAACGACCAAGCGTCGCTTTTCGATCGCGATACTCGATCAAGAGGCCAGAGCAGGTAAAAGAATTTGGGATACCGAATCCCGAACTCAGAGGCGAATGGGGCGATTATTGTTCTCGTTCGAAGAACGAGAGGCAGTAGCGCGGGCAAACTGTTCAGTTCCCGAGATGGGATATGATTTCTGGCCGCATTGGCATCCCCTCGTAAGACAGGAGGGAATTAAAACCCGATCTCGATTGCCCTCCTCGAAAGACGCACACGGGGCTTCCGATCGAATTGATCTGGATCGGCTGAGTTTTTGCCCGCAAAGGCTCTGGACTTCACCCCTGGATTCTTTCCTCCACTGCTAGTCCGCACACGCTGGACCGCGACAGCCGATC